GTAATCAAGACTCGAATCGATGAATGTGACAATAATTCTTTATTTCTCGTCTCATTTACCAATTGTTTCTTCTTCTTTTTTGTTGAGCAAGAAATTAATGATTGGGAACCAATTAGATTCTTAATCCGAGTAGAATTGACCGACTTCTATTTAAACCAGCGGAGTCAGGTTGACTTATTAGGTGGTTCGACGTGTTCGTCTTCCTTTGGTGTCTTTCTTCTGTTCCCGGCAGGAAACGAAAGCAGGGTGGATTAGTTCTGTCGTCGCTGATCAAAGAACAGCTTCTAGTTCATGAAAGGGAGGCGTACTTGCACCGAGAGAGGACATTGGGTTTCTCGATCGACGAGGCAAATAGCGATCTTTTTGATATGTTGGGATCAAAACGAAGGCAAAGAATTAAGATATCAAACGTGTTTTCCTGTCGTCGACGATCGCCGCGCCGCAGCTGCCGAAACCGAAGGCGTCATCGGATCACTCTGGCCGCCGCTGAGGTGCCTTCCATCTTAAGCAAAGAAAGGTAAAGGAGACAAGCCGTGGGATATGTAGGATTCACACACCTCTTTCTCAGTGCTCTCGCGCTTGTTCGTTCTCAGACTCGAGGGTTTACGTGGGCACGGGAAAGGAGACAAGCCGTACTCGTGAAAGCTAAAACGTACGTACATGCATGCGAGCATGAAAGCCAAGCACACACGATAAGCGTGGAAGCCAAAATCAATGCCTCCTGTTAAGCGTTTGACTGACGTGACGTATGCTTGCATATCCAATGTATCAAGACACAACCTAATTTGGAAACAGCGCCGGAGATCAGCACCGGTCTCCGCCATGTGCATCTCGCGATAACTGAGTCAAAGATGTCAAGCTGCAGCAGTAGGTGATGACATTTGTGCAGCGCGATGCCATCACACGAAGCACCCTTTTTTGCCCAATGTAGCGTATAATTTTCTCAAATAATATCCACATCAAATGCATATTTAAAATATAATTTTTATTAATTATTTATCAAATATTCCACACATTCACTCAAAAAGAATCTCTAGAGTGTACTTGACTCTACAGGGATATGATATGGATGAATCTTAATGACATCATCTGATGAGTCATCTTTTGTATCTTGCCGATTGAGTGAGAGAATATTTGACTATTATGAGATATTATCTTTTCTTCTGTAGGATTAAATATACGCTTCGGACTATTGTAACCTAATGGCATTATGATAATATGAAACTCTATTCATAACTTGAAGAGTAAGGAAAAGGACTCTGCAAGAAAGCAACAACAATATTCTCGTCAACGTCATTGGCCGACTTGAAATGGCTTCAGCCGAGAGGTGCGAGTCGACGGTACGGCTCTCCCACCACATCGGCGTGCACTGCATTCGAATGACCCTCGGCACTGCCGAGGTATGAACACTAGATGTGCCGGCGTTTGAATAGATTCGCTACAGTATATTATGAATGCGATTGCTGTTGTTATCTTTTATTCAAGCTCATTTCTCTGTGGATGATGCAGACCTTTCATCTTTCTATGAACCCTATCCCGTGACAAGGGACCATTTACAAGGATGACAACGAGGACGACTAGCCTATCGTCATTGACACTAAATGGGCAATGTAGCAGCAGCGGCCACGGCAAGAGAGTAGGCCACCTTTGATGGCATGGGGTTTCGGTAAGCCACCTTTCATGGAGTTGCTCATGTTTCGTCACCATTTCCAACATGAACTAGTTTCCGGGTCAGGCCAGAGAAAGCAATACGTTACCAGCTCAAGTCACAGCGCGAGACTTCTCAATAGTTCTTCGCAGATGTATTAATCAACTAGATTTCTTTTCTTTGGCTATATAAACCCTTGTGTTGCTGCACGAACTCTTCAAACACACACAAAGCCAGCCAGTGTGAGAGGAACAGTAGTTGTTGATAGAGAGAGAGAGAGAGAGAGAGAGAGAGAGAGAAAGAGGGGAAGCGATGGGTTCGATTCCAGCAGAGAAGCCCCATGCGGTGTGCGTCCCTTACCCCGCCCAAGGTCACATAACCCCCATGTTGAAGCTGGCCAAGCTCCTCCACTCCCATGGCTTCCACGTAACCTTCGTCAACACCCTCTTCAACCACAAGCGCCTGATCCGCTCCCGAGCCATCTCCGCTCTCCACGCCCTCCCAAGCTTCCGCTTCGCGTCCATCCCCGACGGGCTCCCGCCCTCCGACGAGGACGCCACGCAGGACATCCCTTCGCTGTGCGAGGCCATCCCCAGAACCGCCCTCCCTCCCTTCCGCCACGTCCTCCGGCAGCTTAACGAGGAGTCGCCGCCGGTGTCCTGCATCGTGTCCGACGGAGTCATGACCTTCACTCTCGACGCTGCTCAGGAGCTGGGCGTCCCCGAGGTCGTGTTCTGGACCACGAGCGCCTGCGGCTTCATGGGCTATCTCCACTACCAGCATCTCCGCGAGAGGGGTCTTACCCCTCTCAAGGGTGAGTCAGTCGGTGTCCTTCGCATCTACTTGAATAAGACGCGCAGACATCGTTGTTCATCCGCATCTTTTGATTCTTTGCAGACGAAGGCGACATCACGAGTGGATATCTGGACATGCCGGTGGACTGGATACCGGGCTTCGACAACATGAGGCTGAGGGATTTCCCCTCCTTCATCCGCACGACCGACCCCAAGGACGTGATGCTCAACTTCTGCACCCGCGAGGCGCAACGAGCCTCCATGGCCTCCGCTGTCATCCTCAACACCTTCGAGGAATTGGAGCGGCCGGTCCTGGAAGCCATGGCGTCGATACTCCCTGCGGTGTACACCGTCGGCCCGCTCACCCTGCTCTCTCAGCGAGTCGCCGACAGCCCGTTGACGTCGATCCACTCCAACCTGTGGAAGGAAGACAGCGGCTGCATGGAGTGGCTCGAGGGCCGGAGACCGGGCTCGGTCGTCTACGTCAACTTCGGCAGCATCACCGTGATGAGCAACACGCAACTCCTAGAGTTCGCGTGGGGGCTGGCCAACTCCGGCTACGACTTCCTGTGGGTGATAAGGCCGGACCTGGTGAGAGGAGACGCCGCGGTGCTGCCGCAGGAGTTCGTGGAGGAGACCAAGGAGAGGGGCCTGCTGGCGAGCTGGTGCCCGCAGGAGGCGGTGCTGTCGCACGCGTCCGTCGGCGGCTTCCTGACCCACAGCGGATGGAACTCGACGATCGAGAGCATTAGCGGCGGGGTGCCGATGCTGTCGTGGCCCTTCTTCGCCGAGCAGCAGACCAACTGCCGGTACGCGTGCACGGAGTGGGGCATCGCCATGGAGATCGACAACGACGTAAAGAGGGAGGAAGTGGAAGCACTGATAAGGAAGTTGATGGGTGGGGACAAGGGGAAGGAAATGAGAAAGAAGACAATGGAGTGGAATGAGAAAGCCATGAGGGCGACACAACCAGGTGGGTCCTCTTTCGTGAACTTGGAGAGACTGATCAAGGATGTGATGCTTTGAAGGAGACGACTTGTTCTGTACCTTACACGCTAAGACATCCGTATCCGTGTGTAATACATTACTGGTAATTCATGTTATTGTAATACATATAAATCCGACAGACGCCTACATCAATCGATAAATATCTAAGCTAAGTTTTCATATCTACCGCTTCACATTCAATACATTGGTCCGCAAAATTCCATGGATGACGTTTTATTTCCCAAGAAAAGACAACCATGAGGCTGCCATGGAGTGACTACACACAACAATACAATAATTGAATGGAAATACTAACGAATATAAAATATGGTGGTCGCATGATGACAGAGTCGCATGTGATGCATCCAATAATTCACTGGTCCCAACAATATAATAATACAAAGAAGACAACCAGGAATGGGAACCAACAGTGTCTGACCGGAGCTTTCTGGCTCCCAAATACATATACTATTAAGTTAGCATTTGCTTAGGAAACTATATAAAGTATATCGAGGGAAATATTCACGTAGGAAGACCTGTCATAGCATATTCCGATCCAAATCAATGATCCGAAATGGATTATTACAAACCAATGATCCAACATAGTACATGCGAAATGATATCATCAGTTAGGTAGTTTATAATATCATCAGTCATGATCTGAGCAAACTAACTCAAAATATTTAAACCCAAATTAACAAGAATAAACTCAATTCAAATCATTCTCCACTTCCAATGTATAACTAACTTGCTAAAGCTGATCCTGTTTTCAACTACAGCATAACTGTCTTTCCCCTAAAATATATGCTTACAATATATTCTTCCAAGGTTCCAATGGCATTCATTCTACAAATCCATTGTATGGAATTTCTATTTGCAGTCCAATAATTTCAAGGTTCCAATCAAGGTTGTCAAATTTGTTTCCTATCTAGGTTAGTAAATGGGTTACAAACACAAGTTTTAATAGCCTGTCCGAATACTTTTGTAGAGTAAAAAGAAAAAAGCACTAGTTATCTTGTCCTAATATCCTATCAAGTAAACAAAAAAACCACCAGTTTTAATGGTCCTACGGTCGTATAAAGTTAACAAAAAAAAAAAACACTTGCTTTCCTACGCTACTATCGACTTCTTCATCGAGAGGTCATGAAAGAGGGAGAAGATGGGAAAAGGAAACAGAAGGTTGGGAGAGGAGAAAGGAGATAAAGGTTATGAGGTAGGAGAGGGCAGGAGAAACAGTACTTTTCAGCTTGATTAATATCTAACATTGATATGAGAACCATAATGCTGTTTAACCCAGCTATGTAATCTAAAAATTCCTCTACTCAACATAACGCAGCAACATAATCCACGACATCCTAGGATAAGCAAATTCCCCTACTGGAGATTTCAGACACAATTAAATATGATTTTGAGGTGCTACATGATATTATATTATGAGCACATTTATCATTTCTTTAATGGCAGGCGCTACGACTTAGTAACATCGCTCTTATTTTCTCCTAGTGAAAATCTGCATCATCCAGCAACCCTATCTATTCACACTTCCAGAAGTTTATTTTCAACGGAAAGTATTGGAGACTAACAAAGCAAATCAATTTTCAGCGCCAACATCCAAATTGCAAAAACATGGAAACAATGTTCAAGTAGTATCCATTATCTAAATAAAAGTAATTATGCTATCAGTCTGTTTATAGCAAAGAGTAAAGCACGTACTGATCTTTGTCTGGTTGGTTCCTTGAGAAAACCATGATCTAGGCTGCGATGGATGGCTTGGAGGCAGCAGAAAGCTTGGACCTCCTCTTGGCCAAACTCTCGCTCCTGCGCTCCCTCTGCTCCTTGAGCCTGGTTGCAAGCAGCTTCTGGTACTCTGCGGCTTCTGACTTGGCCTTGGCAATCCTCTTCTTCTTCTCTGCAATCCTGGCACGCTTCCTTTGCAAAGTCAAGGGAGTCACAAGCCTCTGTATCTTTGGTGCCTTGCTGCACTTCTTGCCTGCAAAGAGTATCGGAAACTTTAATCAATGCAAACATTTCCATACTGGAAAAGTCAAAGCATCTCATAGAGAAGGCAAAAAGGCTAGGCCTTGAATGCATGTTGCAGTAACTTCGGAAATGATACCACCGCAGTAAAATGATCCTATTTCTCTATTTAGGTTCACACAACCTACCCCGAATAACATCATAAGACAGTTGTTACATGCATGCTTGATTATGAAAAATCCAAAAAGATATCAAGCCAGTACAACTCCATGCAATAAATGAAGTTTACTAAATTTCCAACAAAATGATTGTAAAAGCAAGAACTATGATTGAAGGGGAAAAAACCACAATGGTAATCATCGATTTGCAGTGACAGTGAGGTCTCAAAGGGCGTCAAATGTGAATCTAGTAGATGCCCTTATGTGCTAGCACCTTTATTTATATGACAAAAAAAAGAAAAAAATGCTGTGTTGACATATCTAGATAACAAGTTAACAACAAAAGACTGCTAATATAAGCACAAATTCACCAGCATAGTATCTCATAAGGTAAGCAGGATCACCAATTAATGCAGTATGGTAAAATAAAACTGCACCTGATTTTGTTGTGAAGGTTCGGCGGTATGTATTGACGTACTTGCGAACATCATCCTCTTTGGAAAGGTTGAATAGTTTGCGAATTTTGGAGGCCCTCTTTGGTCCCCTCATTCTAGGCTTCTCAATATCGGTTAGTCCAGGAAGATCATTCTCACCCTTCTTAACAATAACCAAGTTTAGAACTGAGAGGTCAGGGCTAACGATGCAACCACGAACTGACTTCCTCCTGCGCTCTCCATTACGCCTTCCATACCCACGGAAGCAAGGTGTACCTTGACAAGATAACAAGGTCAAGAAACCAGCTAGAGAATAATTCCAAGTAATTCAACAAACCAAAAGAAGATATACCCCTGTGCAGCAGCAGGCGGACACGACCAGGAGTTAGTACTCCCTGCTTCATGGGAAACCCTTGCTTGTCACAACCACCCATGATTTTGAAAACATAACCTTTGAACTCCTGGTAAAACAAAGACATGTAGCTTACAAGTTTTCATCTTTTGAACTTCAGAATAATGTTATCTGATAAAGGAAAATTGTGGCTGAATCATACCTCTCCAAGAGCATCTCCACTGACTTCCTGAGAGATCCTCTTGTCAAAAAATGCTCGGCTGCACAACATATTATGAACACTTTTGAGTATATTTCAATACATTAACCAATAACAATATCAAAAGAACATAACCAAAATAAAAAAAATTAAAGCAACCCTTGGTAAAAGGAAACTCAATAATTTTGGTTTTTGCCCATGATCCAGACACAACTTAATCTCCAAACCCAGTTATTAAATTAATAAAATGATATCCAAAAAACAAAAACAATTAAGAAATGCACAGAACTTCCCCTCAGTGTCACACATATTTTGGTGTAAGTTTAAGTCTTTCATAAATCAAGGAACAGGTAGCACTATGATGTTACATGTCGATAGATAAAATTAGATCGCCCATTCTCTGGATGCTGAAAGATAGTAATTGAAAAACCAACAATGTGAAGATACGTGGCCAGACAGTTGAGCACCATTTGATTATACTATACTTACATAATGCAAAAAGGGCAGCACCACACAGAAAGTTTTGCCACTGCATAATCTAGGAAGGTCAGACGTGTCCACCCATGCCCATGCACTTGCAGTGATTGCATTTGCCATTTGAACCCATGATCCAGGACACAACATACCAATCCTCCCATTGGATAAAGACCTGTCTGTCCTCTCCAAGAGAGTTAAGCACAAGTTTCCAAGTGACTTAAATTACCCAAAGATCATCCAACAAAAGAATCTCTTATCTACCAATTACTTTGTATTGATGCAGCATATAATAATTTGACCTTTAACGGACACCTCAAAAACATAGTTCTTGTTGATGGATTTCTTTCTTCTTAATATTGTCTTATACAGATTCTCTTGTGTTACTTTGATAATCCAGCAACCAAAACTTCGCATAGACTAATTTCGTCTGACATGTTAATCCAAACAGTTAAACTCATCAAGTGTTCTTCACTACCAAAACTAGTAAAAAAAAACTAAGCACGACTTAGATCTCCAAAGAAACTAAAATAACTTGCAACTCAATGGTCACATTACAAACAACGCAGGTCTCCATCAAACTGAGCATACACATGCACATGCGAGCACACACACATGGAAAAGAAACTTAAGGAAAAAAATCGAAGCCCTAATTATACACACCAATCCTGTTAGCGTATTTGTAGCCAATGCTGCAATACTTTCAATCTAATAAGAGTTCAGATAGCCATAATTTACAGTCACTCCAACGAGTTATTTTTACATCCTAGGAAAGAGCATTCGACAAACCAACATAAACTTATCACCAACCGACGAAAAACCTTAATCTTGAAAGCGCACCAATTTCCTCGTGCATGGACCAATGATGGACGATAAGTAACTAGGAACATTAAAAAAAATTGCACTAGAATAACATGATAAAATAACAAGGAAAAAACAAATTCCGATCTACAAACAAAACGTAGAACATCAAACATAATCATTCCGAATCCATAGTAGCTTACAGCTTCTGATCGTCATCAATTTCCAGCTTCTTCTGGCACCCAGTGGTCGGATTCGCAATATTGAACTGCAAAAACAATACCAAAAACCAACAACTAAGACGAACTCAACCCTGAACATTACAGTCCGACACAAAAAGGGGAAAAAGAACAGTACGATAAGAGAAATCCCAGAAACGCGAAGATGAGTCCGAATCGTACCTTCATCTTGTATCAAACAGTCCCTTGGCCGAGCGCGAGAGCAGAGCACGAAATGCTAACTCGCCGCTAGGGTTTCTCATGGCGCACGGAGGGACTTAGCCCATTTATAGTGACGGTGGATCGTTATCATCGTACGTGATATGGTCGTCTCCACCGTTTGATCGTTACTATTCGAGGCGCACTCGAGCGGTTTGACACCGGCCGACTCGGTTGGCCTGCTTTGATTCGCGTTGAGGCTGAACCGAATCGAACCCAATCCAAACGTAACGAACGAGATCGAACCGTAGAGACTCGAGAGATATGTTTTATGAGTTTTATGTTTTTAGTGATTGTTAAATCTGGTTATCCAACATGGATATTGATTCGAATTTAAATTGTCCATATCATATTTGGATTCAACATGATGTGGATCCTCTTATCTGGATATTGTGGACATTTTGCTGATGTCTATCGTAGACGAATCAGATGAGGACACATCATCATCATCATAATCGATTCGGATCATTCAATGGTGCTCACGGCTTCCTTAGCTGTCGCCGACACATCGCTCTCCTCAATGGTTCACAATAAAGCGTAGCGTCACAAGACGAGTCTTTCCCATTTGTCCTGCGGCAACGTGTCGTGATCAAGTTGGCTCAGACAGCTGTCTCTTGTATCTTTGTCATAATTGACGGCAGATCAAATGCTCTCATGGGATCCACCGTGCTCCCTCCCGCGCCCCTATTCGTTCCTCGCCGCTCGTTTCTGCGTCCGTTGGCTCTCCGTCTTTATCGCACGGCCCCCAAATTTTCCACCTTTTGTTTTTCCGTAAAAAGGAAAAATAGAAAAAGTGTTTCCTGTGCCGCTCTTCTCCAATGATCGGACGACGCTTCCGCTGCTGGTGTCATTCTGACAGCCGTCAGGACCCACAGTGGCCGGTCGCGATGAGGGATTGGAACGGTCCGTTTCATGGTGCCACCGGAGAGGATCCTCCTGCGATCTTTTATCTTCCTCTTTAAAAACTGCCCTCTCTGCCACTTCTTCTTCCCCGCCCCCTCCCCACCCGTCTACGATTTCCTCCTCCTCGTCCTCCTCGGTTTCTTTGGGCGGTAGAGGCGGCGGCGGAGGAGGCTACGACGGCGATGGCGGGGACGAGGGAGGAGAACGTGTACTTGGCGAAGCTGGCGGAGCAGGCGGAGCGGTACGAGGAGATGGTGGAGTACATGGAGAAGGTGACGGGAGTCGCGGCGGCGGAGGGGGAGGAGCTCACAGTGGAGGAGCGCAACCTCCTCTCGGTTGCATACAAGAACGTCGTGGGGGCCCGCCGCGCCTCGTGGCGGATCGTCTCCTCCATCGAGCAGAAGGAGGAGAGCCGCGGCAACGAGGCCCACGTCGTCGCCATCCGCGACTACCGAGCCAAAATCGAGGACGAGCTCAGCTCCATCTGCGGCGGCATCCTCCGCCTCCTCGAGGAGCGCCTCGTCCCCTCCGCTTCCGCCACCGACTCCAAGGTCTTCTACCTCAAAATGAAGGGCGACTACCACCGCTACCTGGCCGAGTTCAAGACCAGCTCCGACCGCAAGGACGCCGCTGAATCCACCCTCGCTGCCTACAAATCTGCCCAGGTGCTTACTAGTCCGATCTCTCTTCCGATCCGATGCCGATGGTCTCACCCGATCTCGTGTCGATCGAGTTAGAATCCGTTGTCAAATCGTAGGATCGTGTGGTTTGGTCGATCTAGATGGTGGATCTCGGATGGATACAGGGATAGGGTAGGGTCGGGGTTTGGGTCTTTGAGATGTTGATTCGTCTTGTTTGTGGACTGATAGGATCTCGCCATGGCGGAGCTTCCGCCGACGCATCCGATCCGACTGGGGCTGGCCCTCAACTTCTCAGTGTTCTACTACGAGATCCTCAACTCACCGGACCGTGCCTGCAGCCTCGCGAAGCAGGTAAGCGATGAATCCCTTTGATTCCAAGATTTCACATTTTTTATCCTGTGCGCATATATATGTATATTGGATTGCAGAAATACGTAGTTTTTATGGATGTTTCGAACCTCCTTCTTGGTAGTTCTTCGGCTTCAAAGTTCCGTGCTTTCCCTTTCAATTTCTATCATGTATTGCTATTCCTTGTTTAGAATTTAAATGCCATTCGATTGATTTATTTTTCATCACTATCTCTGTTTGGCTATTTTTTGTGACAAATTTTGTTAACATTGCCTTGTAATTTCCTTTTCAGTTTTATCTGCTGTTAAATTGTTGATCATTATAGCGGACATCTTTAAAGTGCCAAGGTTTTATGTTCACATGTCTTTGATCATAGTCTTTTAGTTTGGTTTTCGACCATTAATTCTGCTTGGTTTTGCTGGCTCCCTTGTCATATTAATCTGTTCTTGCTACTGATAGAAATGACTGTCCTCTGGAATATTTTTATCTGTGTTTCAAGGTTGCAACTCCCTGTTTGGAATTTTGTTTCTTTTGCATCCAAAAGTAGGAGATGATTGTTGCTTTCTTGTTGTGCTCGCATCTGATTTCCATGGAGGCTAAAATTGTTTTATGTCATTGAAGTAAGCATTTTGTTTGAAACATATATGTATGCACATACATATGCAACACGGACAAAATTGGTTGTGTTGTATATTGCTGTGGAGATTGATCTATAACTTTATTTGCTCTCCATGATTGCCTCTCTGTTGTTTATTAATAGTGTGTGTCAAGATGATTTTTGGTAGATGATAGCTATGAGCTTAATGCAATCGCCTTTTTTTCAATTTGTTCCAAGCCAATCGTGTGACTAACTCGAAATGCTGTTTCCAATTTTCGGAAATGGTTAGATTCTCTTAATTATGGTTTTTCATCGTTTGAAGTTCATAAGGTTTCAAAATATCAGTTTGGATTTTTATGCATCGACTGTTTTTTTTTTTTTTTTTGTTTAATAGTGATACCACATGGTATGTATGGCTTGATACTATTACTAGGGTATCCCGTCCACAAAATTGTTACCGAAGAGGGTTTGAACTCTTGGTTTAATGCGAAGGCGATAGCTGGTAAAGATTTTGATAGTATATTGCAAGATCATGGGTTCCAATCCCGCCTTCGTCACTTACCCATTATCCAAAAAAAGAAAATTTGGTTCAATGAATTTGTCATGTTTAATTTGACTTGAATAACCTTTCAGGAAAGAAGTTGAGATTATGAGAATTCTGTTTCATGTTAATTGGAGAATTAGACGTGTTCATCATGATGGGTAATGAAATCACTTTGTGTGGTTGATCCTATCAGGCATTTGATGAAGCAATCGCCGAACTGGATTCTCTGGGAGAAGAATCATACAAAGACAGCACTCTCATTATGCAGCTCCTCCGCGACAATCTGACATTGTGGACTTCGGACATGCAGGTGCCTCAGATGTTCTACTATGAATTCTAGTTAACCCCTTTTGCCAGTTATTGTGCCAGCAAAAGAAGAACCCTATTAATTTCTGTGCATTTGCTTGCTTGCTTGCCGTTAATAGGATGATGGAGTGGATGAGATCAAGGAAGCACCCAAACAAGAGGAGGAGCAGTAGGATAAATAGATGATCTCTCTCCCATTAAGCACTTCAATATCTTCAAATTCTCTTGCTTAGCGGTGTGATAGAAAGAAGGTGGAGTTCACCCCTCGTCCCTTCATCCGTTGCTGTCGTGTTCTCCGAATTCTTCCGCTTTGTGTTTCTTCTCCTGTGTGGTCGGTCTCGCAACGGTGACTCCACTTACATTGTGTTTGGATTTGAGAGAAATGCTGTAACTGATTGGTTGACTAGATACAGCCCCACTGTTTTATGGATTTGTGCTGGTGGAATGCAATGATCGCTTATAAGAATCAAACCAGTATAAATTCTGTGTTATGTTGTCCTCTATGATCTATCACTGTACTCGTATCAAGTTGTTTCATTCGTTCTTTGTCTGTGCTTGGGTTAAAAGGGCAACTCTTAGCAGCGTCTGCCATAACCGGATGAAAGCAACAGTTCAAGAATGGCACAGTGGCAGCTATTGTTCGAGAGTCTCAATCTTCAGTTATGCAAAAGGTCGTGCATGTTGTTGTAGAGATGGATTATAGCATCAAATAAGATAAAACTAAACTTTCACAAATATTGTTGAGTTTGGATTACGACTTTGACACATTAACCTAATGCATCATGCATCTCGAGAACGATCGAAGATAGTAGGAGATGCAACATTCACAAATGTTTTGACAAAAACGTCAAAGAAATTACTGACAAAGAATATTACATAAAAACGAAACATTGTTAGAATTTTCTAGAGCGAAAATATGGTATAAACATTAACCATCTCAACATCGCAACAACATTCGGCGTAGGGCTAGATGGACTTGAAAGTATTGTTAAGGATTATTAGTTGCATCACACTTAGCATCGCAAATTTTTGAGCAATAGACTTGCATCAAATAATAGAATATCACAATAATACTGTATGACTAAGATAAAATTAATTACAAATTAACTAAGTCCATGATAATAAAAGGAATACATTAGATAAGCACAGTGCCCATTGATAACAAGTCAGACTGACACAAACATTACAAGTGTAGATCTAAATGAACCTTTTAAACAGCTAAAGAACTAAGATCGCGAGGTTGCCAAGATTTCAAATTGTATTCTAATACTAATCCTGTACAGCCACTTTCTGTTGATGGTAATACATACCAGACTGCAATCCAGAATGTTGGAGGGATGCATTTCTCTGTGGTTCAAATGTAAACTGCTACTGATAGCTACATTACACAGGAAGAACATCTTGCAAGATGTCTCAAAGGAGATCAACCAGAGAATCCAAAGTAGAGGCTAGAAATCTGTTTCTCCAAATAATTGCGGCCGCTGGTTCCTAGTGCAGGAGGAAAATCTATCAGCTTATGAAAGATCAAAGAGTCTCCTCATTCATTTTGATGGCATACATAAATGATGATGACCATCCAACTACCATGTTTCGAAGAATATGCTTAGTTGTAGAGAAATGAAACAAATATCATGGCTTATCAAAGAGTATCCTTATTCATTTTGATGCCATACAGAAATGATGATGACCATCCAACTACCATGTTTCAAAGAATATGCTTACTCGTAGTTGTAGAGAAAAGAAAAAAATATCATGGCTCACCAAAGAGTATCCTCATTCATTTTGATGCCATACAGAATGATGATGACCGCGCAACCACCATGTTTCAAAGAATATGCTTAGTTCTAGAGAAAAGAAACAAATATCATGGCTTACGCTACATGTCATCGATGGTGTTGATCATATGGGAAGTTTCAGAATGCAAGGAAATATTTCTAACATATGCCAAGCTTCTGCATGCAAAAATAAACCAAATAAACCATCAATTAAGGATTTCTGGCCCAAAATCAAAGAAATTAACAGTAAACCTTTACGATTAAGAAAAGAAAGCACTCTGTCAACCCTAAATTCCAATGCAATGAATGTGTCGGTTAAGAGGGCAGCTTAATGGAATCTCCCTGTGATTCTCGACCAGCACAATATTTACACTTCCATTTCAAAATGAAAATAAAATATGGAGGAAACATATAAAGGATGTCACCAAATATACTTTGGGCACTCCGATGATTCAACATAAAATAAGTTATCCACGTAGAAAATTTACTAAAGGGTTAAAACTATTCCAAAATGTTCAAAAGTTGGAAACTTTACCAATGGATACCAAAGTTGATAAATCAGTGTCCAAACCAAGAAGTGACTGAAGCTGCTTGTGATACTCGCTAGTGTTACCATACAGAAGACAATGAAAATAAATATCTAAGCCACATTCTTCTCTAGTTTGAGGTATTTCATTATACCTTCAATTTCATGATTGTGATAGTGCCAGTGATTGAAGTAAAAAAGACACAAGTAATTAGGGCACCACTGATGTTGGCCTAGCATCTGATCTCCATACATAATAAAGATGCCTTGATTGATAATATCGCCTGTAATGGACTCATTTCATAGTTGCAATTGAACTTCCGTAGCAGTTAAATTTTCGTTATACTTGTAGCAGCAGATAGAGCTGGAGGGCAGTAGACTTGGGTAAACAACAAAACCTTACAGTATGCACTCTTGAGTGAACAAGAGGTAGATGTCGGTGCGGTAGAACACGCTTACTCGGTGTTTTTACCCCTTCAACTTTTACTAAATTTCCTTGGCTTTCTATCTTATGTAAGCCATCTTCGTCCCTTAAAAGGACAAAGAATGTGGGCACTCTTATCCTACCAAGGAGGAATCTTTCTGGAAGAGAACAACAATTCACTGTTTGCAGCAGTAAAAAATTCTTCAAATCCTCAGACCCAGTAAAGATAAATAGGATACATGAATACAGATCAATCAAAATTGTCTTAGCATATATAAAAGAGACATGTGCATCTTATAGGGATCATAATTTGGGGTAAGATGAAGCACTTGATCATGCAAGCTAAGTAATTCTAGTAGCCACAAACAAACCCTTCAATCATATAGGACCCACAAATGCAATCAAACCTAATATATGATTTTATTGACATCAAAGAAGAATGGTTTTGGGGGGGTTTGGGGTTTAGATCTGCAGAATGCAATTGCAAGGACATCTATTTGTACTCATGGCGTGAAGTGATCATTAGATTCTCAAGGAGGAGTTTAATGTACAGTAAAAAGCTACTGAATCACATAGGATGAAGGATAAAACCCTACCATGCTTCCGGCAAAGAAATGGATTTTACCTTTACCGCCTGCGTCGAGGTTTGTACTGAGAACTAAGGGATGAAAGTTGCTTGCTTCAGGAATCCCCTAATCTTGGGCTCGGCAGCTGAACCCCTGGGGACGTCGGCAACCCCAGTGCCGGTGCAGTCATCATCATCTGGTATGCCGTCCGCGGCGACAGCAGGCATCCGAACCCTAGCGGCGAACTCGAAGGCGGAAGCACGGGCGCCGCCGTGGGGGACGGGGCCGGGCCGCCGCCGCCGCTGCGAAGGCGTCGCATGTAGGCCGAGATTGGCGATTCCGCCGCGGCGCTGACGGTGGGGAGCGGCGGCAGAGGCGACAGCGGTGGCCGCGTCCAGGGGTCCACGGCAGGCAGCGGCGGAGCGGGGACCAGCGCCGGAGGGCGGGGGGAGAGGTGGGCCAACGGCGGCGGGCGGATGCGGTGGAGACGTGAGGTGGGGGCGGCCGCGGCAGCGGCAGGAGGAGGGACAGGCGGCGGCGCCTCGGCAGGCGGAGGGCGGCTCTGGTGGTGCGCGGACGAACCGGTGAGCTTCTGGACGACGTCGCGGAAGTCGTTCTTGTCGATGTTGTACACCGGCGGCTGCGGCTGGTACGGCGGAGCTCCCCCGCCGCTACCAACGCTGGTCCCCGCCTGAGGACCCGGCGGCGCCAGCGGCTGCGCAGCAGCAGCGGCCGGAGCAGCAACGGTGTTAGGCTCAGGGACAGCGGCAGCGTTTCTTTGAACAGGCTTGGAGATCTTGTAGGAGGCTCTGTTGAGGGACCTGAGTGAGCTCTGTACGTTGCTATTGCTTGTCTTGCTGTTGCTGATAGAGCTGCCACAGCCGCCCTGACCACAAGGATTGCCAGCAGCAGGAGTGGAGCGGTCATCGGCAGTGATGGTGACCGTGGATGTGGAGGATGAGGAGGTAGAGAGGTTAGCTGAGGAAGGACAGCTTCTCTCCATCATTACCTGCAACACAAACACAGCGTGGGGTGCTTGAATCTTTCTCCCCTCTCGCTTGTCTGAAGAAATGGGTGGGTGTTGTGTCACACAACAACAACAAGAGGAGCTTCAACACACTAATTGAATACAGGCACAAAAGGACACCACACATGTTCATTAAACAACACCTTCTGTGTGTCACTTGTCGCTTTCTTCTGACATATAAGCAGCCTATTCGAAAGGAATCGTGTCTGCATGAATTATATTATGGCGTGCAGAGAAAGAGAGGCCAAACCCTATCATCCACATGATGTGGGTGCTGAATCTAACCATCACAGTTAGGCCACACACTCCACTCAAACTCTGGAGAAGCTTCCAAATGAATTAGATACGGATGGCTTGAGCTCTTCATTTCAGTAAGCTGAGCTCATCACGACAGGAGATGACAGAAAAATAATGACAACATATATAATAATATTTTCAGGTCCTATTTATATGATTCCGCTGCTTAGCAGACAGATCTAATCGGAAATAGAAGAAGAATTGGCCCAATTTGCTGTGTATGGAAGACTGGTCGATACCAATATGCTTTGGTATGAGTACTTTGGAGACATGCCTGACATAAGATCAGATGATAAGGTGGGCTATACAGTGGTGACACAGAAAAAGGGAAGATGAAGCAACTGATGATATTGAAGATGATGATGATAGAGATGGACGGTCAAAAGGTTGCGTTTTTGGAGACGGTAAGACAGCAGCTTTGGGGGGAGATGTGACTACGCAGTAATAATTTCTGGCTTTCAAGAGGAATTCTAAGATTCTGTCCTTAAAATCATGCGACCCCTAGATGGGGCTCCTTTGACTCAAAAAAGCATCGCTTTTGACCGCCCCACAGTGCCCGTCCTTCTCTTTCTTTCTTTTCTCCACCAAACTCTACTCGTAGTTTTAGACGGTCTTAACATGTATTTGCATACCAACGACAAGAAAGTACACAGACAGGTACCTGTCACAAGCAGCAAGATTGAGTGAAACACGATTGGGTGTGCCTCGCAATGTGCATCCAGGTATCCACCTTGACAGCACCAGCAAGCTCAAGACAGTCATTGATGAGGTTGTAGAGAAGCCAGGGAGCATCAGCTGTACCATGAAAAGCTTGTTTGAGTTGGGGAGATTACACAAAGATTTAAAAGAATGACTAAATCATTCATGTCGTCTCAAAAGAACAAGAATAAGCTCCCAGAGAATGCATTTCTTGGCACAGTGATAATTCTGAAATCTATTGTTATCTTCCTTGCTTAAAGGAACTTAGCAAGAACAGTAGGCAAGTCCATACTAAATATACTCTCAGGCTTTACGGCAGCCATGAAGAGACAACCAAGTACACCTGCAAAAGAAAGCATATAAGAGCATCTCTATGATCGAATCATGGAAAGAACAATAAAGAGAAAAAGTGTTGCACAAACATTAAAAGAAAGAAAACTTCTCAAAATCATATTTTGTGAACATTTGATTGCTTGCTCTTCTATGTAGTTTTATACTAAATGAGGAATGAGGAGTCATACCACTTGATGGACATCCATCCCAAAGTTCTGTAAGAAACTCCTGAAAAGCCATCCACTACTTCATTATGTATAGCATCTGCGTCACTTATGTGTTAAGCCTCACATGAGTAGCATGAACTTGGAGAACCAATTCATCCACATAAAGCACAGCTCCTGATGCCTATAAGACCTTCCTAAAACTGTCACTGCACTATTTGCTTTGCTCAGTGCCAAAAAGACACTGCTTCCGCACAAATATAATTTGAAGGATAGTGCGTTTGAGATCTTCATTTCAGGGGAAACACAAAGTGTATGCCTTTCTAAACTATCAATGATTAATCACAGTAAGATGTTAGTTCATCTGTTTATTTTCCCCAGTGATTTTGATGTCTATCATTTATGGCTATCGGGATATGATGAGAATATACTCAATCCGAGCATAGAAAATGAAAATAAGCGCTGTATTTAACACTTGCAAGCTCTCTCAAACAAGATAATTACAAGTTTCTAAGGTTCCATGATCAATCAAAACTCAATAATAACAAGTCATAATATTCCAACTAATTAGGAGCAGCAACATGGATCTTCAATGGACCAATGACATTAACTGAAAGTTGCCTGTGGTACAGGTCCGCATGATGGAAAATAGTATTAATCAGAGTCTAAGTTATGGATGGTAGTGTAGACTATAAAACAAAAAGGTGCTTATAAGGTAGCAGTTAATAACAAGTTACAGAAAAAGAGAAAATTAGATCATAGAAATATGAAAACTTTACAAAAGGATCTTGCTAGTATCTATGTCAAGTTGGTGTCACTAATGGTTAAAAAAGCTAAAATTTCCTAATGCAATTACATCTGAGAATAAATGTAATACCTCAATTAGTTTCACATCGAAAGTAAACAAGATTAATATTGACTTATAAAGATTTGATAAGTATATTATTATAAACTTAGAATTTGTATACAATCAGGAGAGTTACCCATAGATGAAGTCAGAGAGCTCGTCACGACATGGAGCCATCAGCCAACTTCAAATTATGCCTATCAACCTAAAGTTTCACCAGCATAAACTAAGAGAATCAAACAATCAATAGGTGCATTAGCATCTATACTCTGTCAATATGATTTTGGGCTGTCAGCCCAGAAACCAATACCTCATTGGCAACGAGATTGTCACCAATTGATAGTAGTCTAAAAAGGAAAATGTTCTTCTTATGCATGATCTGTATAACGACTAGTAGTAATAGTGGTGGTTCACTCAGCAGCCTAAATCGATCGAGCATTCCTTGTTGAAGTCCGTCAATGGGCGCAAGACTGCAAGGCAAACTTTTCCTAGGCAATTCGACAAACACGTAACTGTCTCAAGTAATGAATGACACCATGGACTCGGTCAAACTTACGATTGCATTACCACCAGTCTTAGATCGATAGTATCCGGAGCAGCCAACCCCAGATTAGCCCGCGACGGAGAGTTGGACTTGACCGCCAACAGAGTCAACATCTTGGAAAGAAGTGGTAGTAGACATGGGAGTCATCCCGTCAAGCAAGGTTCCCAAGTTGCTAACTTTGGATGGCGAAACGTTACCTGGGAACACCGCCTGCCTCCTCACCTCCCTCCTCCAACGCATCAACTGCTTGGAACTTTCGCGGCGGAAGGCGCTGCGTCACCGAGACACATCGCTTGCCTGCTTTTGCGAAGGAGAAACCCCTTCATCGCCGTCTGATGCGTCATGAACGGGTGCTACGTCCTGACAGCTGGATTACATGACACCGCTTTGGTGTGCACAGCCAAATGCACTGTGAAAACGCAAAAAAAGAAAATTAACTAAATAAATAAAAATGACGGATAAACGAACAGAATAGTCTGAGCCGTACCTAATTCGATCCGACGGATCCCGTCGAGTCCTCTGACTTCGCTATTGCTATTATATGGCTTTAAGAAAAAGAAGAAAATAAGGCTTTAAGAAAAAGAAGAAAAGAAGCCTTCTTCTCTTCTTGCAACCGACCATTACCACTTCGTTCTGTCTCCCTCTATATAATCCATCGCGCCCTTTCTTCTCTTCTTCCCTTCCGACGCCAAACCCTAGTAAAGCCGGTTAGCTTTCGCCTCCCGATCTCGACTAGGAGTTGGGGGATCTAGCAGGATGGAGATGGTCGCCGCTACCCTTCGCTTAGCTTTGCTCGCCGCCGCCGTGGCGCTGCTCGCCGTAACATCTGCCGCTCAGGGCCCCAGCCCCGCTCCCGTGAAACCCCCGACCCCGGCGCCGACGAAGCCTCCCGCCGTCGCCCCCGTCACCCAGCCCCCGGCGCCGACGAAGCCTCCTGCAGTCGCTCCCGTCACCCCGCCCCCGTCCGTGGCACCCCCGGTTTCCCCTCCAGCTTCCACCCCGCCCTCTCCCTCTGTTTCCACGCCTCCGTCGGAGGCTCACGCCCCCTCCCCTCCCGCTCCGCCGCCGGCCGTCCCACCTTCCTCAGCCCCCACGTCGCCGCCTTCGGGCAACGGCGCGGCCCCCATGACCATCAGCTGGATCGCCGTGGCCGGCCCGGCGCTCGCCTTGCTCGCTGTCTAGATCCGTGCATGCTCCGCCTGGCTCGACTTCTGCCGTCGGGTCTTGATCGGACGGTTGCCTCTTTTTGTCCTTATTTTTCGCGTGATTATTGTATTATTAATATATAATGATTGTTGTGGGTTTTTTTTGGACTTTTGACTGTAGACATGTGAATGTGACTATACCAATGCTGCTTAGTTTATTCCTATCTTTATTTTACCATTCTACCCCTTTCTCAGCTATTCTTAATTTCGACGGTGGGTATTCAAGTGAACATAAATGGCGGACGCGTGTCTTCCAAGTGCGCGGGAATCGAGCACCGGACACGTGCGGTGTTCTGACGTTTGCGGTCAGCGGCAGTGGGAGTGAAGTCCAGCTGGGGGTTGTTGGACGGGAACGATGTCATGTCGTGTGTCACGTGGTGGTGGCAACAAAATAATATGCCCATGACATTTTCTTGCTCTTTATTCTCTTTGTCCGTCGCATTAGCAGAAAAGTCGAATGACGCACTCGCCGAATCAAGTTTTATGGTGGATAAACGTGCTGCGATGGGAAGGAAGAATATGAGTTATTGGCACCATCATCAGCCATGCATTAATCCATTAATAAATTTAAATACATTTTATAATTTGAAATGTTCGATCACATTTGATCAATCTGAACACCAGTGGTTGGTGATTACTATTGGCTCATCCAATTCTAAATTTCTTGAAATTTATAAATACCTCGATTCATATGGAAATCATACCTGATCTGATCCGATCGTGTCCAACACGATTTTTTTTGCAAATCGAGTCACATAAGGACGGATCAGATTTAACATCAACGATCCGACGCGATCCAGTGATGAGAGGACGATGGGCCGGCAAAGGGGAAGCCGTCTATCAGCGAGTGGACGGCTGGAGATGATGCACCGTCGAAGCCGTCGTATGATGCCATCGAACTTTGACATACACGGGGGAGAGATAAGATCAAACCATGGTCGAGTTCCACGGCGCCAGCACAAGAAGAGGACGAAGCGCAGTAGCAGTCAACAGCAAGAACAAGAGTAAGAGTACCATGTTTCTGCTTTGACTCAACATATGTCTTCGATTGTTTCCCTTGATCATGAATCGTTTCTGCGGGAGAAATCCCTAGCAGCCTCTCGCTGAAGGAATTTCTTGTTGCTTCGTTTCAGGTCTGTGTTTTCATCTGTGATAATAAGGGTTTTTTCTAATGAATATTATCTTATCGAATCTTTCGCTGTCTTCTTCAAGATTTTTCTTGCTGTTGTTGAATCTCGCATCAAACAGAAACATGGATCACTTGCGATGCTGAAAAATTACGGGGTCATATCCAAATTTAGCATTGCTTTTAGATCGAAAGCAATCTTGATTTCTGCATAATATTTCCCAGGGTTTCTTTCTTCTCTGCCAAAGTTTCATGATCGTGAATAATAGCAGTTATTGGAAGGGGATGCTGTCTGTCGTTCATTCTCGAGATCTTGTTTTGTATGTGCGTGCGTGTATACATGTATGTAGAGTGTTGAATCTGGCATGAAATCAGAACCATGGATCACTACGACGTGTGTGCTCTTTCACCCTGCCCCAAAAGAAAGTAATGGGTAGCAACCAATGAAGCTGAAAGTTACGCGATCATATCCAAATTTAGCAATTTAGCATTGGTTTTAGATCAAGAGATGTCTTGATTTCTGCATGATTATTTCAAATTGTTTCTTTCTTCCCTGCCAAAGTCTGATGATCTTTAATAATAGCCACTTCTTGGAAGAGAAATGCCGTCTGTCATTGATTTTCTCGAGGTTTCGTTTTGTGTGTAGATATACATGTGTATCCAGTATTGAATCTTGCATGAAATCCGAACCATTGATCACTATAGCTCTTCCACCATGCTCCAAAATAAAGTAATGGGTAGCAACCAATGAAGCTGAAAATTTATGCAATTTTATCCTAATTTTGCATTGGTTTTAGAGAGTTCTTTCTTGTCGGTCAAAGTTTCAGGCTCTTCAATAATAGCTCTGCTTATTCGAATAGTGATCCTGTTTGTCATTAAATTTTCTTCTATGATTTTGTTTTGTGTGTAATATGGCCTGTTGAACTGATGACATTAATGTCTAGATTTGTGAAGCAAAGTAATGTGAGCATGGTTTATGAATCATCCGAGGACAAGATTCAGGCAAAAATGGCCACTTTCCCCCGTGACATCTTGTTCTGCATCCTTTCCAGGTTGCCTCTGAAATCTGTTCTTCGGTTTTGTTGTGTATCTAAGTTATGGCTTGATGTGATAAAAAGTCCAGAGTTCGGGTACCTCCACTCTAAGAAATCAGCTGGTGACCCTACATTACTAATTCTGTCCCACCGTCTGCTGAAGGAGAACATCATCAGCATAAGCCCAATAAGCCTCAGGGGTCATCATCTCCACATTAGCGATAATTCCATCAGTAATCTGGTTGGTTCCTGCTCATTGAATTTAGTAGGGGCTTGCAATGGCTTCCTGTGTTTTGCATCATTCGATCATGAGCGTATCCTGGTCTGTAATCCTATCACAATCGAGTTTGTCATTCTACCGAAACCTGGTACAACTCTTCCTCCAGAGCCTCTCACAATAGTCTATGGTTTTGGGTTTGATTCTACGTCAGAGACATACAAAGTTGTTCGTGTATCATATTCTGAAGGATCTTTACACGGTGATGCTAATCTTAAGGTTTCAGTTGAGGTATACAACTTGGGTGCAACAGGGTCTTGGAGAGCAGTGCGAGACTTTCAGCAGCCTCCGTATGGTCTGCCTGTGTTTGCTAATGGACATCTGCACTGGTTAGTACATCCACATTTTTCTGGTGCTGATAGAATCATATCATTTGATATCGGAAAAGAGGAATCGGTAATGACACCTCACCCAAATTTTGGTTTGAGATTCAGTATTTCCGAGCTGGGAGGGTGTTTGTCTGTGGTAGATCTTAGGAAGCGCACTCTCATTGAGGTATGGGTGCTTAAGGATCAATTTAACAACTATTGGCAGCAGGAATACATCCTTCCTGTAGGTGTGCCTTATGGTCTTGATATGGGGCTTCCTAGGCTGATATCCATCTCTGAGAAGAATGGAGTACTACTGATTTGGCTACAGGATGCAATATTTTCATATGAGCAAAGAACCTTGAGTCGGAAGAAGCTGCTGATATCAGGGTTGCCATCATGGTTGGATTGGGAGATTTGCTGTGGGTTTAGGCCGAGTCTGGCTCCGCTGAGGGGCAATCTTGAAAGATTGAAAGAGAACATGGATGTTGCATATTTTACTAGTGACATGGAAATTTATTCCCAGCCCATAATTTCTTCACAGATTGTGGAGTATAAAGCTATTGGTAGGTGTGATGGCCTAGTATCATGTTTTGTAAAGAATGGCATGTTAGTTCCTTGAAATATATTCCTTGTGTTCATATGGATTTGAAATCATATAGATATAATCGGCTAGCTTTGAAATATTTGTTGCTAAGTGGAGGTAAAATTACTAGTTACTACAGCTGTGGAGTTTGTATATTCAAGTGGTGTATTACAAATTCTGCTTTGCCTTGTCTTAATTTATGGAATGATGTTCCTTGTTCTATATTTGTTACCTTAAAGAAATTTGTTTCTCATCATCTTCCTAACAGCATTAGTTGTTAAGTTATTGATCTGGTAATTATTTTCTTTGTGATTCTTTATGACTTTGTTTAAGATCTTTTCCTTTATGAGAATCTTTATCTGCTTTACGTTAACCCTCCCAAGATCACAGGAGCCTAATGCACTGGCCTTGCCCTATTTTATGTTTTCAAGAATGTGTATGTGATTAAAAATGAAGCGTACGTATAACTAATGTGACTTAACTAGAGAAAAGAAAAGGTGAAACCTCTTATATATCTCCTGTAAAAATTGATTATTCTCATAGATAAAGTTCAGATTCATAAATGCAGGGTGCTTTTCCTAAGTTCTTGATAACATGTTGCTATCAATTCTTTTTGGAAAGATGCAAAAGCAAGAGGTACAAAATATAAAAGAAATTATTTCTCTTTTATTTATTTGATTTTGATCAGTTCCATATGAAGTAAGGAAAGTATATGGATGTTGCAGATCATGTTGGGAGATGATATGATTGACTCCATACATGATGCTTGGGGACAAATGGTGGCTTTACTACCTATTGATACTGTGAAACTCTCTCATTTACATAAACGGTCAGACTGAATACTATTTGGAGGTAATCTTTTTTCTTCTGGAATGTGCTGTGGAGTTCTGTAAGAGGCAACTTTTATTATTATTTTTATTCTGATCATATTTCGTATGTAAATTTCTACATTTCTTACATGAACATTGAAACCAAATACTTAGGCACATAGTCATAATACCTTTAATTCATAGGAAAAATAGTACTACATAGGTAAAGCCTTTTCTCTATATGTGCAGCTAATCATTCTCCATAGAAATCTGACTGTGATCTTAGAAACCAGGATATATATATAGGCTTCAGATCAAATATGATGGCAGTGAAGGGTTGGGATTGTGATGGAAAAGCTGAGTGCATTGCAGAATTCAAGGAGCAGAATTTACCAAGAATTTGTGGTGAGAAATATTTTTTACTTTGAATTCAAAGGAGACAGCTTCTCGTATGACTTTGGTGGGTGTGTTGGTCATGTCGGAAGCACGGCCGAAGGCATCTTAACTGCTCTCCCACTTACCCGCATTCCTGTTGGTTGGTTGGGTGGGTGGGAGCCACGATAAGAATGCAGCCCTGAGGGTCGTCACCTGGTGGTTATTTCTATTTGAGTGAGAGTAAAAAAAAAGAAAAAACACGAAGAGTGCCGGGGACGATACCTGAGTCAGTCAAATACCAAGTCCTCGTCTTCTTTTTCCGGTGTTGGGTGCGGATGATCGGCAGGGCGATGGCGTCGCGCCCTGATCGCCACCTCCTCCTCCTAAAGCCGGGCGACAACGACTTCCACGATCCAGACCTCCTCTGCCCCCCTCCCCCTCCCCCCTCCCCCCTCCCGCCTCCCCCTCCCTCCCCAGCACCACCCCACCCTCCTCCCCGCCCTCCCCATCGCCCTCGCATCCCTCCTTACCGCCGCGGTCATCATCGTCCTCATCACCATCTTCATCTACCGATGCCGACGCCGACGCGGTCGCTTGGCTGCCGCCTCCACCACGGAAGACCCCGGCCCTTTTGAAAACGGGGGCGGCGAGGTGGACCACCATGTCTGGTACATCAGGACCACCGGCCTCGACGAGTCCACCATCGGGGCCATCACCGCTTGGGCGTACAAGGCCGCTGACGGCGTCCTCGGCGACTCCCCCACTGACTGCGCCGTCTGCCTCTCCGAATTCTGCGACGGGGAGCTCCTCCGCCTCCTTCCCAAGTGCGGCCACGCCTTCCACGTTAGCTGTATCGATACTTGGCTCCGATCCCACGTCAATTGCCCCCTCTGCCGTGCGCCCATCGTGGCCCCAACCTCCGCCCCCAGCGGTGCCGATCCTGGAACAATTTCTCCCACGTTTTCCTCCGCTTTGTCCTCCCCTGATTTTTCCCTAGATGGCATGGATCCCAATTCGATCCCCTCTGCTGTACTGGATAGCAATCAGATCGACGGCCGCCAATTGGGATCTGGTCAAGGCGTCTTACAAGTGGAAACGGAGGGCGAAGATTTGGAAATTGGAGCTGGAGTTCCAATCGTGACTGACCATATCCCAAATTCTGAGCTGCGAGTGCCTAGCAATATTGGGGAACAAGGGTTCGAGCCTATTCGGCGCTCGTTTTCGATGAATTCATTCACTCACGCTCCTTCCTTGCACAGATCGGAGTTGGTAGAAGGTCTTACTGGTAACACAAAGGAACCCTCCCTGAGAGAGGAGTGGGATGGCAGAACCACGAGAAAGCAGGGCACTGCTTCCAGTGGCACTACTACTTTGCGGAAAGAAACTGAAAGATCTTCATCGAGTGCCAGTGGGGGTTTCTTCTTGCTAAGACATGTGCGAGCTCGGAGCTCTGTTCTTCCACTGTAATAGTCCTATTACTGAAGTATGTTATCAAGTTCATGAAATGGGGAATATCTAATATACCAGTGGTTCTCAGCAAGTTGGGAGCTGCTCTGTACTGTTTTGAGTCTGTGTGTGTAGAGTGGAAACAGAGAACAGTGAACCTGTCAGATACACTGCATCAGTTATGGTTAAGGCTAGAAGGTAGATTTTTGGGTTGAATTCGCAGCACAGTGACTGGATGATAAGTTTCCGTAAGTTGAACTTCTGTAAGGTTTATGTGTCCATTAATTGTGAATATATTACGAGATTGTAAAAGACTTCACACTGATTATAAGATGCCGCTTAATAAGTGAGTTTATTGCCCTTCTTTTTATGCTTCGCCTACTTAATTGTGGTTCTCAGTAGCTTATGCACTTGCGGGAAAAGCCAAGATCCTCTACCGATAAAACTCATGCATGCACTTCGTGTATTGATTTCTTTATTCTCTTATGGTTTACAGTCTTTACCTTCTGTTTTTTCTGATTACCAGTCACCATGAACATTAGTTGTTTCCATGAAATTGAGTGATGGATCCTACTGATATATATATATCTTTTTCAATCGGAAGCAACTAGAGAGTATTAGTGGTTTCAGTTTACTCTCTTCTCTGTTGATTACACAGAACTAGTTTATTGTCTTTCATTCGGTGAAGCTATGTACCCAGAGACGAGAACATTAGCATACAATCTTGCCAATTTTGCCAGAGCACGCAACACTGATGTTTTTCTAAGAGGTACTTCACTTCCTGATAGCTCCTACGGACAGTTAATGATGTACTATACCCATTCTTTCTTTCAAAAAAAAAACATAGTTTTTTTATCAGCTGCATGAAAAGAATAGTGAGGATAATGCAGCCTACAGGAAAACAAATTTGAACTATCCATTTTGTGTTCTTTATTACTTATGTTAATCATGTCATCTCTAATTTGATGCTTTGTACTGAGTATAAGTCATTGCTGTTGGTGTGTGCTATTCTATTAGCCATGACAATAAATTATATGCTACTTAACAAGGACCCTACCTTATTGATCCCTTGGCTCGATAATTTTTCATACATATAAAAGCAACCTAGTGGAATTTGATCTATAGGAGGATAGTCAAGCTGCATGGTTCGCTAGATGATTGCATATCATGTTGGTTGACAATAAATTGTCACTGTATCTTCTTCTGTTATTAAGTTTTATCATTATATCCTATGTTCATGTATCTACTGTTTGCTTATCCTTCTAAACTAATTTATATCTTAGCCCTTGAGGAAATAACCTAGTCTGGTAAATAATATTTAAGAGGATTCCAGAATAAGTAATTAAAAACTTAATGTCTAGGCATTTGGTCTTGTAAGATTCCTAGAATACTCCTCGTCTTATTGTTCGTCCAATTATGTTTGTCAGTTACAGTAAGAACACTTGTAGCTTCAAAAAATCTTTAGTACATAGAATAATATCAAATTGTAAAGAAAATTTATTAGATTTAGCAAGAACAAATTGTTGCAAGAGACCTATGTCTGGGAGAAGAAAACACAGTTCTGAGTTCTGACTATATATAATTCTCAGGAATCAATTCCTTTTGCCAGTACAGCTTGCATGCATGATTGAAGAATCAATTGTTTTAATGATGAGTCCTAATACTTTTCAAATACTTATCAAGCAGACCCATTACTGGATTTGATTATGTCTTGTATCCCAGTCAAGCTTGACTTTTTCCTCCTATAACTTTGTTGTTTTACTCTTCCACTGAACCTAATTCCTATCCGAGTAGTTTGATTAGATCTAGTAGACCATGATGATGCATGAAGCAATTGACACTTTTAAACCACTTCTTTGTTCCGTACTGCTCATGGCGGCCTTCAGGTTGGACTGTTAGTTGACTCTCCCCAGCCTGTTTAGAAAATCTTGGATTGCACCTCTACATCTTCAGAGATTAGTTTTCCCTACCCTTGAGTAAATTATTACTAGCCAGATGCAGATGATTCCAGTGCCAATTGTGTATAGTGAAATTCTACTTTGGCTGACGGAGCTGTTCCTTGCAAGTAGGCTTCAGAACATTCTATTTACAAGATCTATGATTAGTTTTCCAACCCTTGCCTACATAATGCTCATTGACAGAATGACTTTATCTGTCTTTATCCTGACTGTAAAAGAAGTTTTTAGCATGCGGTTGTTCTTTTTGGTGATTATCTGCAATTCTGAATGTTATATGGGTTCTTCGCTCCAGTAATACATCATTGAAAATATAAGTTTTGCTTTGAAATTTGTACTTTAGAATTTGCATGTAATAGTAGCAAGTATTCCATGTTTCCTTTTCATTTTGCCAAGTTTTTCTTGATACATAATATGCTCAGTCTCTGGGAACATGTTAAAATGATAATGTTCCTGCTGTTCTTGCAAGTGGCTTCTGCTGCTTCTCCGAACAGCTCAGTTTTTTCTCTTAATTTTAGATTATTTATTGAAAAAAATTATTAAACATGTAGTGGTTGTCATGTACATCGCAAAATAGCTGTGTATTGATTATTCTGAGCACAATCTCCTGTCTTGACTAAGATGACTGAAAGCCTTCCTTGAAGTATTTTTGGTAATTGTATATACAGTTGTCGGAAATGTAATAACACTTTGGTTATTTAGACAACTGAAACTATTATTGTTGGAGATTCCAGTCTTTTTTATTATAAAATCATTCTCAATAACTTGTTTAACCAAATCTTCTACCAGTCACATGTTTTGTGTAGCTAATTGCAATTCAAAGTTTTGGGATCAGTTCTACAATTTCAAAGGAATTCATGAGATTTGGTCTTTGGGAAGGTGAATCTAAACTCTGATGTTTCATCTCAACTGCATCAACATGTAGCAGAAAGAGTTACAATTATCACATAGTAATATTGTTTCTTGCTCATATTTGGGAAGTTTCATCTCAACTGCATAAACATGTGGCAGAAAGAGTTAGAATAATAACATATTAATCTTACTAATTGCAATTCAAAGTTTTGGGATCAGTTCTACAATTTCAAAGGAATTCATGAGATTTGGTCTTTGGGAAGGTGAATCTAAACTCTGATGTTTCATCTCAACTGCATCAACATGTAGCAGAAAGAGTTACAATTATCACATAGTAATCTTGTTTCTTGCTCATATTTGGGAAGTTTCATCTCAACTGCATAAACATGTGGCAGAAAGAGTTAGAATAATAACATAGTAATCTTACTAATTGCAATTCAAAATTTTGGGATCAGTTCTACAATTTCAAAGGAATTCATGAGATTTGGTCTTTGGGAAGGTGAATCTAAACTCTGAAGTTTCATCTCAATCGCATCAACATGTAGCAGAAAGAGTTACAATTATCACATAGTAATGTTGCTTTTAACTCATATTTGAAGCACTCCATTTCCTTTCTATCATGCAGGCAGTAAGCAGCGGGAGATGCCAATCTGATACTGATGCAATCTATGTCAATGAGAATGACAGTTTATTCCCTTACACTGATGCCATCAGATTTTGAGACGCTACTGTTGGGTTCTTGCTGACACAATGGAGATGCACCAAACTTTTCCATGTTGGATCAACTGACAAGCAACTACTCTTGCTTGTGGATTGGACAGCAACTAAGATTGCCTCTGCTGCCATTGGATCTCCAGTATTATATGAGGTGTGACAGAGAACAGAATCAGCAACATGTGAACCAGTGAGAGGTCATTTGCCAACCTGGTCAGTTCATACATCAATTGGAAGCCAAATCAGTCCTAAAAATGACTATTTGTTCTCCTTTGCATCTCTCCTTTTGACATTATGATAGGATATGTCTTGCAGTTGCAGGTTTTTCTCACCTCTGGATCATTATTACTCCACAGACCCTTTGCAGAACGGCTCACATCAAACAAAAGAAAGCAAATTCCACAAGGTTATACAACACTGACACTGGTACTATTTTTCTTTCATTATATCCATCCTTTTTTGAGTTTGTCTACTCCTGCATTATCATTTATGGCCTTCTATCATCTCTGTCCCTCGAGATCTTACAGATTCCTCGAGCATTGTGTCATTTCTTCTGTTGGGCTTTTTCTGAGGACACAAGCATACCTACTGAGCTCCATGCAAGTGAACTTGTTCCTCATAACTTATCTGAATCAATGGAGCAAGAAAAATTGACCATTGAGCTGACTCTCTGGATATGCTATGATTCATGGTGGTAGCTGCTGATTGGAGTAAATTCTTTCATCAAAATGCAAAAAAGAAAGGTTGAAGGAAAAATAATCTAAAGAGGAATCCAAATTCTTTGTTCTTAGTTATGTTATCACTGTATCCAACGGTAAGATTCTCAATGTTGCACAGCTTTTAACCTAATCCAAAGACTTCCATGTATTCGGTTTATTCTTATGTTGATATTTTTTTGGCAAGCAGATCAGCAAAGCACTCAGGTTATCATCATCAAATGCAGAAGTCCCAAGTAACTGAGATCAACAGCTCTGTCCTACAAGTACAAGATTCTAAATCATATGAGAGGCTCCTATATGGTGGCAAGCAAATGGAGTCGTCTAAAGGTATGTCTCCTCCTCTTCGATCCTGCACAACATCTGATGGACTGCTGTTGCTATCTCATCCACTGATGTATGTTGGCAATCATCTTCCACCTGCAGATCGAAACCAGGCGTAGCAGGTTCAGAAGAGATGAGCATAAACTCCACGAGATTGCAGAAGATAACGGAGAAGGGAGAGTGAGATGTTCCGACGTTACCTTGAGACTGAAGGCGTACAAGACCATCTGATCGAGGGAGGTGACGTTGAGGTGCAGCGGCATCAGCCGCAGGCTCTGCAGCCCCACCACCAACTTCACCAGCTGCTTCGGCCGCCGCCTCGAGAGCACCTTCAGGCTCGCATGGCTCTCCACCACCGTCACCTCGATGTTCGCGGTGGCTGCTCGGTTCTCGACCTCGCCGCTGTTCCCAAAGGCAGTGTCAGCGCCGGTGACGCCGTGATTCTTCTTGTCGTTGTTGCTGCTGCTGCTGCTGCTGCTGCTGTCGGTGGCGCCCCCATTGGCTGAGTAGGAGGCGTACTGGGGGAAGCTAAAGCAGTCGGCAAAGGCGGAGGCGACGCCGGCTGCACCCGCTCGTTGCTCGAGTCGCTTCCGCAGTTCCAGTGATCGAAGGAGCTGCTCGAGTTCTTTGACGTAGTTTATTGCGCCGCCGACGATCGATGCTTGATCACCCTGCACATTGGCGGCATCAAATGAGGACCACGTAAGCCAAGTGACAAGAAGGACGAAGCGAAGAGCCTGTCACCCTTTGGACGAAGGAAGAGGGCATGAGAGAGCGGAGCACGGCCAGGTACTCGTTCATTTGCCTGCGGCGGTTGCGCTCCACGGCGATGTGGGTCATCCTCTGGCTCTCCACCTCCTCTTTGTTCTTGACGCTCTTCGCCCGCCGCCTCTTCCTCCGGCCGCCCACCTTCGTCGACGGGGAATTCGCCTTCCACTCCTGCAGGTGTTGTGCCAAGGAGGAGGAGCAGGAGGAGGGATCCCAAGTCCCATCCCCGCCACCGCCCATCCTTTTCTCGGCCTCAAGCAGTCCTCCCAAGCCACTGCCCCATGCTCCTCCTCCTCCTCCTCCTCCGGCGGCGGTGGCACACCACTCATCGAAAGCATAGCCAAAGAGGCCTTGACGGAAAGCCGCAGCTTCCAGTGCCATTCCTCTCTTCCTACAAGGAGCTCACCACCAAACCTTCTCCTTGATGAGGTGTCAGAAAGGTTGCGCTTTTATAGACTCAAGGTATGCATGTTTTCTTCTCCTCTTTCTTTGATTAATCGGAGAGAGAGATAGAGAGAGAGAGAGAGAGAGTCAGTGTTTTGTATCATCTGCTGGAGTAGGTTGGCATCATCAAGAATAGAGAGGAAAAGTTGGAGGGCCTGATGAGAGACACAAGTGAAAGAAATGAAGGGGTTCAGAAGATTCTGCCTGGTGTTGGACGTGTGTGTGTTTCTGTCTGCAGCGGGAGGATAGATGTGAGGCCATGTGAGCTTCAACTTCTAGCTTTGAGTTCTCACTCCTCCTCCTCCCTCTCCGCAATCATCTGCAGCAAGTACTGCCACTGATGCTGCAAACCCATGTGGCCTGTGACACACTTCCATGGGATACTGATCCTGAGGACTTGTTTCTTCTCTTTGACCGATGGAATACGTACTCGGGTCGTGTCAATAGCCTACGGTGAGCTGCTGTGTTGTCTTCTCTCCTTGCTGTTACGTTTGGGATTCGCTCTCCCCGCAATTAAGTTTGATTTTATCATAGGATTTGATTCCTCAAGATTCTCTTTACCTTTTTGCTTAGGTTTTACTTAGGATTAAATTATTGCCAGGTATTTGATTATGACACTTGCATATATTGAATCTTTCGAGCTCTGACAACCTACTCTGCAGATGTGCTTCAAGGGTTCACAGGTGGGGGTATATTCCCTGTGCTTTCTGAGCTAAAACAGGAAGACTAAAGCATAAGGTATAGTAATTACTATTGTCCTAAAGATTACCTATATCAATCAGTAGAGGATTTATATTTGATCTAGCAATTTGGTCAATCTCCTGGCATAGATTTCTTGAGCTTTGGAGATGTGTGAGGGATGTTTGATTTCGACCTTCGAACAAGGTCTTCTTACTAACTAACTAGAATTGACTGGATCATTAGCCTTTTCTCTTGGACAACACTTGCATTCCTCAGTTTGCAGGGAAGGCAAAAAAATGTGGATGCTTAGTGAGAGACTTGTGTATTATTTTGTGCCAGTAAGTTCTTGAATTGTTATTTTGCTTGTTCAACATATATTTTTTTGGGTGCCATGATGATATTTTATTTCACGTTTGTTTTTTTTATATTAATATGTATTTTTTTTTATCTCATAGGTCCGTGCAGCCTAGTAAAATGTTATTACTTGGATGATCAGTAGATGTCGCCCGGTGCCACACGGTTCAGACATATTCAACTAAACAGTGAGTAATCTAATCCGAGGAATTATTCGTTTTGGAATGGATTCATTTGGTCTTATGTTGTGGATGTTTAAGAGGGAGAGAGAGAAAGAAAGAATTTTTTTTTTTTTTTTTAAGGCACTTGGAACTAAAGATGGATTCATCAACCATTAGAAAATTTGAGTATAGCTCAGAACATCCTGTCGCATTAACGAGAAACAGCACTGATTTGTAGAATCAGTGAGGGTGTCAAGTGTGAGAGCGGAGCCTCAAAGGCTGCAAAACCATGTCGGTACGAGAATCTTGGGATGCACCGTATTCTGTGGGCAGGTGAAGCCAAACCACGGTGGAATTTGGTCGAACAGGTTTGGGTTGGTGAGGGAAGCAGGTAAAATGAGACACTAAATCTGATCGAGTCGATGTACTGGTTGATGCCGCATGTTCCCTGTGTTATCGAGCCTCACGAGGCAGATGCTGTGGCTTTGGTTTGTGGCCAAACATCGGCGAGGGTAAAATGAATCCATGCATCCAACTCCCATTGTTGCTCACATACGACACTCCGCTCCCCTAAGTTTTCATTTCTTCGCTCTCCATTCCCGTTTTGTTTTCTTTGGTTTAGTCTCACATGAGGAACGCCTTTCTTCTCGATGGAGAAACCGATCACCAAGTTTTAATATCTATTTCCATCAAATTAAACATAAACGTTTTGGAATTAGTGCTTAAGTGAATCGATATCTTAAAATAAAGGTATATTATCGATTTAATTGGATTCTAATTAAACTGGTTCGAAGCTTATCTCGGTGGAAGGGACGTCCCTCTTTCAACTTACTCACCTATATAATAACACGAAAAGAGTAGTAAAAAGAAAGGAGAATGATCTTTTTTTTTTTCCCCATGTGCAGATATATAGAGACCTATAACGGCAAAAGGTATATACCCTATTCTCGATTTATGATATTTTAGATTTGATAAACTGTATTTCGTATAATAGTTTATATGCGATAATTAAGAGAACAACGATCATGCAAATTTATTACCACGTGCATGTTTACTATGTCTCTTCTTTTTCTCCATGTCTTTCTTTTCGAATTTTATTATTATTATTATTATTGAGGTGTTTATATATTTTGTAATTATTCGGGGAATAAAACAGAAGGGAATCGTTTTTTTTTCTCGGCCGACGCAGATCAGTGCTGGTGAAATCGTGCGGCCATGATTGGACGCGTGGGCTCGTCGCATTGCGCTCGTCGGACGCGCCCAGTTTCCCACGCCACACGGTACACAAGCGAGACGACAATGGCGAACCGCACGGTGGCCCCCGTTCGGTCGAGCCCGCCTTCCCCGGTCGAATACCGGTAACTTTGGCGACCCCAATCCCCGTACGCTGCCTTCCTCCCGGAACTCGATGTTTTCACGGAGAGTAAAAATGGATGATTGCAAACATCAATAGTCCATATAGTTACTACAAATATGTTCTGATAAGAAAATAGTATTAGTTATTGTATATTTTATTATCGCATTTAAGAACCTTTTGCATATGTCATCCTCAATAACACTGGATGATATTTTCAGCACTATGATGAAGTCTTAAATTATATTACTGTGAATCAAATTTTAATTAATATTTAATATATCATATATAATGAATAATAACTACAACATGCATATGCAAGTTTTTCAAGTTTAAAAGAGATAACAAAAAAAAACCAAACGTAAACTTATAATGATAAGTATGAAAATCATTTATATTATATATATAATTTATAATTAAATAAACTTAGGTTAACCATTACTAGTCATAGCAACTAAGGACACTCTTTCATATTTTCTCAAAAACTTAAATATAAAGGGCCTAAAATGAATATTATTAATGTTTAAGATTATATTACAATATTTTTTAAGGAAATATAGGAGACTATAGTTTTGGAGAGAGAGATCCATTTTATGACTTGTAACATTGTGCATATATATCTCTCTCTGTGTGACGAGAGGCGGTATCGGAGAGGGACGAAATCACGTGCAACTTTGGGTGATGCGACATTGGCAGGAAGAGGACACGTCCTGATGTGATTACGATACAAAGCCTGTGTGTGTGTGTGTGTGTGCGCGCGCGCGCGCGCGCGTTTGATCACATCTTCCGTCTACTACCCAAATCATATACTATCTTGAAAACAAACACATGTCAAGAAACACGTACCTGGCACCTGGTTTTCTTCTTTGCTATCGATTGTTTCGCTAGCGTTAGGGTTCACCTGATTGCAGCCCCACATGGTGGAATGATCCTTGCTTTTTGTATACGGAAACTGCAAGAGTCCAACGAGTCATCAGAAACCCAAGTGAAAAGAATATGTACTAGTGTGTTCCCCAACTCGATATTGAAAGAAGACCTGTAAAATGCCTTTAAACCACCTCGGTTCTTGCAGAAATGATACGGTATCCCGATGACAACTGCTTCCTTCCTGATCTTGTGAAGAACTTGACAGACAAAACTGTTCATGATGCGGGGAAAAGAGCATCTGAGGCACAACAGTTCTGCTAACAAGCATGAACCGTTGGACATTTAAACCAATTACACAAAAACCATCATACAACCACTATCAATCAGTTTTGGCAGCAGCAAGAATAAGGTTTACTGGAGTGATCAAGTATATGATAATTTTTAGAATGAACAAACCATAAAATGACAAACACATACCTTCATGAAAATTGCTTTCCCAAATCCGAACAGATCACTAAACTTGGAGACGAGAACGATGCACTGCTTCCAGTAGGTTTCTGACAGCACTATCGTAGTTCACAAGACCCATGAACCAGAACTCATGGTTGTCGATAGAGACAACTTGAATATATTTTTCTCCTGGCTTTGCTCTGCTCGCTGAACGATCGACTGATCTTATCTGATGCAGAGGAATTACCACCTTCATGGATGACAAAATGGGGAGAAAAATCAATGTAATGTATGAAAATAGTGGCCTATAATATTTGATCTTTTCTCGCTTCTCTTTAAAATATCAGTGAAAATTTGAACACAGGTAAATATCTCATTATTATTGTTAACCTCCAACAAAGTTGTCTTAAAGCAAAACTTATACACAGCTGCATCTTATTTAAGACATTTGCCTCTTCAAAGCCAATGAAAATTTAAAATCCCTCAGCAGGAAAATTAACAAAGAATTAAGGTGGTCATAAGTAGCCTGACCATCAAAATCAAATGAAGCATCCTAAGTACCACACAAGTAGGTCAAAATTGCATGACAACGATGGATAAATGAAACATCTTAACATCTTCTAAAATATAAGTTAACTGTTGGATCCTTATCCTCCATATAAATTTCTTCAGCCGATGAGTTTTTTCATTACATGTGGCTTCTAAGACTACAAGAAATTTTAGGTAATGACCCCTAGGAGCATACGAGAGAACAGATCTGGTCTAAAGCATTACCCACGTTTAATATTATGAGCCACGGGGAAAATTAGTATTTGATCATTCGTACAGGCATTGTTGAAAAAAGAGTATCAGATGAATCATGTATCGTTATTCTTTGCCAAGAAGATTGAAGCTGCTAATACATGATCCATATGGATTCCAAGCAGTAGGAAAATTGCAAGCTTAGTCATGAACATGATAGCCTTTTCAAGAGCAATTTTGGTTGGGATAAGGTTATCGGAAAGCGACTATATTACAAAGGTTTTTCACCAGATTTCTGGTGGATCTTCAGTATATCTGGCTTATCTGATTCACATATATTAAAATAAAAGAATAATAAAGAAACACGATGACACAAAAAGATATAGAGAGACTAATGTTTCAAAATGACCCCAGCTCATTTTCGTGAAGTGAACTTGAACGAAGAAAAATGTTCAAAGAACGAATAATGACAGCAAAATGATAACAATAACAAAAAGATCTAGCATTAGAAAAGAATAACTACATTTTGTTATAAATTACATGTCCATAATTTTACCACCTTTTAACATGCAAGAATTTCAACTATTGCCATAATGCAAACTGAGGATGCACTGAATCAGACATGATTTACAGCATTAGCAGTGGTGTGTACTGAGCACCATAATGCTTGTCATCAATGCCATGGCCCCCAATTACATGTATTACTACTAGCACAGTACACATGAACACACCCATGTACCATGCTGGTTACCAGCATTTTGAAGCAAAACATGGGCAAATCTTATAACATTGAGCTCCTTGTTAAATACTTTTAATCTAAATGTGGGTAACCCCTGTAACTTTGTTACAGATTGAACACAAAAGAGTAATTTACAAAGTACCTTGTAATATGTCCATTGAGTCTGATCTCCAACTTTGTATGATAGGGGATTATCACTACAGAATGCAAGTTTGGCAGTCGAAAGATACAAAACCCCCATAATAGGACCAGCCGATGTCGAAAGATAGCACGCATACGACTTTTTAAGTTTCTCATCAGGAAATGTCTCAAAAGTTTGCTGAAATATTTTATCATAACCCCCTTCACTTATGACTCTAGTAGTCTGAGAAATCCTCCCCATGGCTGTGTCAGCAATGCTAGGCCCTGTTTTCACTGAAACAAGGAAGAAGATTAAATCTTCCACTAGCAGGGAAAAAAAAAGGACACAGAAGAAAAGCATGCAGAACAAATCAATCATAGATGCTCATGGTTAATAATTAGCAGAGATGCACAAAAGAACATGACATGACTGTGAAGCCACTTCATGCTTCAGAAAGTAAGCAAAAGCAAAGATGTTAAGCACAGCCTAACTGGCCTTATCAGATGATTTGTAACATTATGATGGATTTTCAGCATTAAATACAGCCAACTAAAGAAAATTTTAAAAATATTATTTGACTGCATATTTATTATTTTCATTTGCCGATGATTTTCTGTCCTTGATCCAAATGAGTCAAACAAACCCACCCTTCGGTATGTGTCTCGGTTGAACATAGTTGTCCAAAATACAAAAGCCTTCTACCAACATTCCAATGTTTCACAGTAATAGATTTTATCAAGGGACCTATATATTAAATTTTTTACCCTAATCCATTATTTCCAGATTGGCAAAGAAGTGGAACATTTAGTCAACTTGGAAATTGAAAAATCTTTTTATCAATTAACCATGTAAAGAAAAGGAAATTTTCAAGCACAAACCCATTATCATATCTTTCGAACTTTTACTTATGTAAACTAATTCCTTGTTTTTGTTTTTTAGGTATTACCATTTATATAATGGATCCCATGGTTAAACCAATGAACTACTAAGCGCTTGTTCAGATTGACATTCATTTCTATTATGATTATATTGCATCAGCAACAACAAAATTAAAATCTCTATGTACTTCACGTAAACCATGTTTCTCTCTTGATATGATTCGTTTGATCCCAACTTTAACCAACAATTACTCTTAGGGTTACATTTGATCTCGATAAAGTGGGTTTAATTATCCTAACATAAATATGCAACCCTAGAGAAGTAACCCTAAGTGGGTTTATGTATCCTAACATAATCTGTAACCCAACAGTTAAATTTCCCAATTTGAATTAGAAGGTCCCTCTAATCTCCTCGCCATATATCTTGTACCTTAACAAAGGGCATGAACGAAGTACATTATGTGCATACCAAGTACATCCAGTTGTCAAGATAATGCAGAAGAATCTTACGACTTACAATGCTGCCAAAAATTCCCAGCCAAATCCTCAGTCTTCTTCGCTGCTTCGTTGACTTTCTTCCCAAATTTGTCAAGCACATCGCGCACAGTGCCCATCGTATCTATACATCACATTAAAAAAATAATCGATGAATAAAAGAAGTATACCTTCCTCGAATAAGATCGAGCATCTGATCCACCAAAAAGAACGATCTAAATGTTCTCAAAATACAGAAGACGCAGAAGATACTCTTGGGGGACGAGGACGGCGCAGTGGCGGAAGGGCTGATGTAGGGGTTGGACTCGGGCGGCACTGTGGTGGCGTCGAGGTGGCCGACAGGGGGCGGCGTAGGCGGCGCTACGTCTTCGGGAGTGAGCTTCGGGTAGGGGGCGTACTCGGCGGAATGCTCGCCCTTCTCCATTGCCGATCGTTTCGCTTCGCGAGATCTGTTTCTTCAAAGCGCGTT